AAAAAAATATTGAATTAAGTTTGTTCAAAGGAATATCTCCATCAGGCTGTACTAGGAAATTATGCAAATACCTATCCCTATCCTCAGAACTGTCCACTTATCATTTAGGCTGCTGGTACCTGATCTTATGTAGATTATTTGTCCCTCTATATATGCATATCCTTATATTATCAAGCCAATTTATAATTACAATTTATAATACCTTACTAAATTCATGTGAGTCTACTGGTCTTAAAACATTTTAGGATCCAGCTGAAAAAATAAGACCTGTACTGATAGAAATAAAAGCATGGCCAAGTCTAATTATCCAGTATTATTTCAAAGAGTAAAAATGTATAAGTTAACCATGGAGGAGAGGACCAAGTATACAGATTTAAAGAGATACCACAAAGCAAGTGAGGAAAGAAGCTTTTATCAGAAATGCAGGAGTGTTGAGTAAAGCCCAGTACATAGAAAACAACCGTAGCGCAGCTCAAAAATGGGTTGGTATAGAACACAGGCTGTGGACAAGGCAGCCAGAGAGGTGGGGATCAGCCACTAGAGATTAAGGATGTTTGTGGGATTCCGCCAGTAGACTTATTAGTCTTCATTGCAACTCTGTCGTTCACCAAAAGAGGTTCACAGTCGCTTGACAGCTTGTGTTATGTCTGGGGAGGAACGGTATGGAAAGGATACCAGATTGGAAGGTAAAATCTAAGGTGCTAGCTTTTATGGCCTTAATGACATTAGGATACTGCACATAATCCCTGATCCTTTTCTCCCTCAGTGGATTTTTTTTTTTAAATAACATGAGAATGTTTAGGCCTTTGCCATAAGTATAAATGTTTCGTGTATTTGTGTTCACTTGCATATTTATCTCTTTCAAAACAATGACCCTCTGAAAATTCCAAAGATTTGGGTAGAATTATATAACACATTCTTAAAATATTAAAACCTACACACATTAAAGCATCAAGTAAAATAGCTGTTAACCTGTCTCACTAATAATCGCCTGCTTAGATCCAGTCTGTGAGAGGAAAAGGAAGCAATAAATTTGACCTTAACTTACCGCACATTTTAATTGCACAGTACTCCCAGGGGGTGTCAGGGTCAAGAGTATAGCACCATGGCCTGGGCTTGCCATCAGGATTGCGGCAATAATTATCATCAAAGCCCTTGTCGGGATATCTGCAAACCACACCAAGAAAAGTGTCATGTAAATCTGCCTGGAAACACCACCCACTCCTCAGCTCACAAAATAACGTTTGACCTAGCTTGCCTACTACTAGATGGGAAGGTTTTCTGTTGCACCTTACAAGAACTAATTATCAACTATTGCATCTGTTAGCTTACATATCTAGTAAGTACAGAATACATCCCCTTTGCTAATAAGTTAGGTCCATTTGGTACCTGTCCCCCGGTTGAAGTCCCAAACTGAGTCCTCTTCTCACAAAGCCCAATTAAGGACAGATTACATAAACATGACCTCAGGTAGAATGCTCATTAAGAAAAGGGGTCCTTTTCTGGGGGCAGGCTTAAAGTTCAAACTGAAAGTTAGGTTTCAATAGTTCTGTTACTAATGATAGCTCAATTTTGAAAATAGAGCCCTTCTAGGTCATGCCCTCTCCTCCACCATGGCAAGAGAGAAACTCCATCACACCACTTTCTCTATACCCACCTCCCTTTAAATTAGCAGAGTCCTGAATTGGTGACTTGATTTAATTGCTACCATATTTCTTCTGCACTCACTTAAAAGACAAGAGATATACTTAAAAAAAAACCCAAAACACACAGTTTTAATTTAATTTAATAACAAACAAAAAAAAAGATAAAGAAAAGCACCTTTCAGAATGGTGGGGATAGAGCTTCTGCTATAATTGTTTATATTTTTATTCTTTATCATAAAAATAAAGGGATTTTTTCAAATCAAATATTTCATATGAAATGAATGAACCAAAGTAGACATATATTTTTTTAAACCATTTAAGCTCAAAACCTATTCCTGAGGAGAAAAGTAGACTTGGTTGCATGACTTCTCCAGACTGGCAATTCCAAAACACGCTAGGATAAAGCAGCCAAGGAACTGTTTGCTCCACCTTTCATTTCCTTTCTATGGGCATGACCTATGTCATGGTGTCACATGTGTGACCCCACTTTACCTAAGTCACTGAAGATGTGCCTTTAGAAGGACATTGGCTTGTATTTAGCAATAATGCCTCCTCCCATAGCTGGGACTGTGGTCATTACTTAATGAGCCTCTGTCTTTGTCCTGCCATGGAAGAGAAAGAGGAAGCTTCTGTTAGTGCTCCCCTTCTGCACCCCACTGATGCTCCTGTGTTCAGGACCATTATGATTTCAGGGACTCCGTCTACTCAGCAGAGACCACTCAAAGGTGTAGCCAGCATTCTCATATACTTCATCATTAGTCCCTTTGCCCCAAGACTATCCAGAAAACATGATATAAAGAGAATTTCTAAGGCAGTTTGTCATGGAGCAAATAGCAGTTTGTAAAAAGAATCATTGGAAGCATGATTTGGTAGTATTTTACCTTTCTGGCAAGAATTTGTGCCGGTGTGGTGTCTGATGATCCCAGCGCTGACAAATCTTGCCTGATTCTGTATGATCCATGGGACCTCGATAACTTTCCCCATTGCAGGTCATGCATTCAACTAATAAAATTAAAGTATGGCATGTTAATTGCTTCTGACAGCAAAATCAAGAACACCACTGTTCCATTGAAAGAACAGTAAATCACCTGTTTAACAAAAAGATTTTTAGAACAATTTATGTACCATTTTAATGTTGAATTGGGGTCTAATGTCCATAAAGAGTGACATAAAATTCTCCCTACAGTGCTCTTCATATAGTTTACATGGGATTTGTGTAGTTAGTCGTACATATTTACCATAGGGCCGGTTGCTACCTTTCTAATTTTTCATTTCAGTGTCTATACAGACTGCAGAATAATTCTGTAGGAAATATAGGATTTCAGTGTCTATACAGACTGCAGAATAATTCTCTTCTCTCAACTTAAGCTCCAAGCACAAAAACAGGAAATACACAACTTAAAATGAGTACACATGATACCCCTAGGGTTAATGCCAAAATCAGGACCAGGTAAACTTGAGAGATCAACTTCAAACATAAGTGTGGTACTATTCAAAGAACAGGGATATTTTAAAAGAAATCATGGTTCCTTTCTGTTCCTGAGTATCCATGTCGAATAACTGGGCAGACTTACATTCTTATCTAGACTAGGATAGAAGATGACCTGCTATTGAACTCCGTGTACTCACTGTCTTTAAAATGTATAAGCTCATGTAATTATGCAGGATCCTACTGATGATTCTGTGAGGTTAATTAATAGTTCTCCTCTGGCTGGCCTCTTATGTCACACTGAAAACTCTGAATCACATCAGCTAGCTGAAAATGAGACTTCTCAAATGGACAGGTTGATTTGTAGCACAGCAGGAATCCTGTGGAATAAATCATTGCTTGGCTTTCTCACGAATCCGGCAAACTTCCCCAAACACATCATTTGTATCTTGTGACTACTGATCATCTAACTTTAGCCAAAGCAGAGAAAAGATATCAATGTTTAGCTTTATCCACTGGTATCTAGCCTAATAGGTATTTGTAATAATTTGGGATATAATATTAGAATAATCACTTCTGGACCTTTGATTTTTATAACCTCATAGGACAGTCAGTAACTACTAACTTACTGAAATATAAGACCATTTGGCTTGATCCATCTACTTCTTTTTATGTTGCTTAATCTATGAACAAGACAAGGGACCAATTCAGCTTCCTCTCATTCGATTCTGAGTTTCCCCAGACTGCAGTCAGTAAGCACCTCAACTATAAATGAGAGGTGCTCTGTTTGGCCAAGGTCATTTCCACATTAAAATGCTCAACCCTGGACTGTGGGCACATCTCAGCTTTCCAGTTCAGTGGGGTACAGATTTATTTAGTTCCCTTTTTCAAAAGAATTCAAGGTTTGATATCTTCACAGAAAATGATGAGGCATTTATTATTCTTTGTTCCTTTGTACTGAGTCAAAAAATAGAATAGAATACTATGATCACATGTAAGAAATAAGTATCCACATGTACAATCTCTAACCTTGTATGGTACACAGGAATATATCTATGTCTCCTTTAGCAGTTGCAAGTTGATAAGAGTATATCCCTTTCAAATGAGAGTGAATGTAATGATTTTCTGCAAATCAGTATTGTGGGGATTATTATAAAACATTTTTCCTAAGCTTCAGGATTTTTAATCTTCTTAAGGTAAAATAGCTACACAAATTAAACAGATGATTCTGTAAGACAGCTGCTTTGCAGAATGAGTGTGGTAGATCACTGCTTCTCCAAACCTTAATATGCATAAAAGTCACTTTGCGATCTTGTTAAAGAGCAAGTTCTGATTCAGAGGATCAGGACGGGGGCATCAATCGTTAGTTCCCAGGGGATACTGATGCTTCTGGTCCTTGAAATTCACACTGAGTAGCAAGTGTGTGGATAATTCATTCTATTCTAGAAGTTCTAAGTGTCTGGTGGTAATGGCTTTGTAGGAGAGAATGGATTTTACTTGGGTATTGAAGGATGGATGGATTTGGATAAGCTATTATGGAGCAAAATAACATAAAATGGTACAGAAACATAAATTAGTGTGTTATGTTTATAGCAAAGTGAAGAGAGAGTTATGGATGCAGTTGCAGACCTAAGGAGATTTTTAAAAATAATAAAAGTCAGCAAGAATAACGTAAGATTTTGGTAGGCAGTGAAAGTTGTTGTTGGGGTGGGAATAAAATGTGTCCTGTGATAGAACTGAAATGATAAGTATATTATAGTTATAAATTCTTTGATTACTCAGTACTTTTAACATACAAGAAATCATTTGACCCTTGCAGTGAGGTAAACAAGGCTCACACAAGTTTTAAGGGACTTACCTAAAACAGAAAATGTCAGACCTGTGCCTGGAACACAGACCCTCTGACCCACAGTCCAGGGTTCATTCCATTCTTCCTAATTATCTTTTTGTCTCACGTATTTTAATTTGTTTCCCACGCATTCTGATTGGTCATACTTTTACAATAGACTCATAGCAATAATTTTAGAAAGTCAATCTCCCTGCCTTTTCAACATTGTCTTCATTACCCTTCTGCCTTCTTGTTTATAACAGTAAGTTGCCCTGTTGTAGTCTCACCTATTGGAGGATGGGGAGAAGGGGAGCAAGTGGATTGGCCACCTTACGTGGGCTGAAAAATTTGTTGTTTCACTATTGCATCAAGCCATCAGGTTACTAATAAAAATTAAATTACCTCAAGAAAGCCAAATTTTAAGCTCATAGTCACTTTTCAAACTTCCAGAATTCTAAAAAACTTCGAAGTTTTCCAAGCTCAGTCAAGCAGTAGGGATGGAAATCAAGTCCATCTACTCATGGAGGTAGGTGAAAATATGATCTATATACCACCGCATTGGGTAAGGATCTCCCCTCTTGGTCTATGTTCTTCTGGCTCTTTATTTGCCAGTGTACTATCCAACAGTTCTAGCAAGTTCATCCTTTTAAAAACAAAACAAAACAAAAAACAAAAGCAAAATACTGTCCCAAATCACATAAACTCTAAGTAAATGTTTCTATTCGTAACTAGAGTAGTTTTCCTAAATATACCTCTGGCCTAAATGAAAGTAGAAAACTATATTAACTACACATGAATAGTAATATAAATAGGATTCATTTAGCATATTTCTCATCATACCAACCAACTAACTCAAAAATTATTGTTATGTTTTTCTCAATTATAAAACTACAAGTGATCTGAGTTTACAGACTAAAGTAACTATTTTGAAAATATCTCTCAGAAAAATCCATGCTGGTGATTACTTCAGCTAAAACTGTATGTTTGAAATATGGATATTTTCACAAGCCCACATTTATATAATAATTGTTTTATTTAAATCTTTGTTCTTAAAAGTCCTTCTCCAGAGAATATGAAATTATACACATAAAGTTATAGCAGTATTATTTGGGATTTTAAGTGTAAGTTATTAAAAATAATGATTATGGCTTAATAAAATGTATTCACTTGAATATTTGACACTCGTTAAAAAAGACATCTGTTCCAATAACTGATGATTGCTATGTTCTAAATCCCAAGCAAATGTTAAAGCAAGAAATTGGACTTTAGACACCTCAGTTTTTTACAGTATTTGAATTAAACATCAATGCTACTATTTTCTTTACATATTGTGTAAGTTTCTAAATATGATAAAAGTATTCATTTTCTTTTGGAATGCTTAATATATTTCAAAGATTAAATTGTAAGAAAATAATATTAATCACTGGACATCAGATATACTTCTTTTATGAACCAAACTTTCAGATAAATTTCAGATGATTATTCAGCCAAGAGTTTAATAAGGTTATAACAATTTCAAGAAATACATCTACATTATTTTGTATATTTTGTATTATCCATTTTATAAATAGCTCTGTTTTTCTCTATTAATGTATTGACAGTGCTTCTTATTTTAGATCCTCTTCAGGAAAATCCCGCTAACGCATTATTCAGTATAGTGTGAATTTAAATATCACAGCTCAATTCACACTCCCTGAAATATGTTTAGCCTATAGGACAGGTGTTGGTTCACGTCTCTCACAGGATTGTTATTCAACTACCATCAGATTTCTAATTACTTCCAGAAAAAGCCTATCTGCAACCTTTAGTGCCACGGTGACCAATAGCATCATATGCCGTTAATAGTAATGAGCAATGCCCTTTTATAAGGAAGTGTAGTGACCTCAAATTAATAAAGGATAATAGAGATGTACATTCTAATGAGGTGAGGATAACTGGAAATCCTGGAAATAGGATTTTTCCAACTACTTCTTTTCTAGCACATTTATTCTATGTTGTCTATCAGTCCACATCTATGCCAGTGTATTTTGATGAAGGTTCTTATAAACCAGGGTTGAGAAATCACATTCCCACATGAACTAGGCAGGTAACATAAATGCTAAGCTATTTACAGTTGGACCAAGTTACCTTCCCTTGAAAACACTTTCCCAGATTAAAAAAAACAATCACTAAACAAAACTCCTTGCAATGACTTTCAACCTCAGAAAACTGTGATAGTGGAGAGTTCCCCCAAAAAAGTAGGGTTTTGTTCTTCCATGTGTAAATTTAAAACAAATATTAATTACAGACTTATTCATACAAAACAGACTTGTTCATAACGTTATCACAGATAAGTTTATTATTTTTAAAAGAGAAGAAAACAACGAAGAAGTTATAGTGAACAGAATATGATATGGAATGGAAAGTAAGAATTTACAAACAGAGATGGAACTGGCTCTAGCACATGAAGTCAAGAATTTTAAATTAACTACAACAGAAAACAAATTCACCTTCTCCATGACAATTCGCTAACAACGGCCTTTTTATGTGATCAATATCAGCCTAATATTAAATGGGTATTTATGGAAAAATAGTTCAAAAATTTGGTTAATAACAAACAGGTACGATATCTTACTATAAAAATTGGACAGCATCCCAGCAGCCCCCTACCCCCAAGTACTTCAAAACCCAACTAAATTTCTATCAGAACTTAATCCATGTTTCATTTGGATTTTTAGAATTTTAGTTTCTGACAGAACTAAAAAAACCAGCTGTTCGGTAGGCAGGTAACTAAGAAAAGCGAAACCACATACAATGCTGAAGTGGTTACTCTTCCTTCTTGTCAGGCCTTCAGCTTTCCAGTACAAGAGTGAGGACAGGGCCCCTTTATGCTGTGAGGGGAGGTAAAAACAGACATGGCCTTAGGGTGCCCGCCTTCAAGACAGTGTGGGCTCTACGGCTTTGATCTCTTCAGATACTATTCTCAATGGTGTGTAGTGTCAGTCTATGTATCAAATTTGCTTTCCACCAGAAGGCACACAGGCGGATCGAACTTGCAGTGACCCCTCCCCATATTCTCTTCTGGTCTCATGTACTCTGGCCACACCACTTCAGGGCAGGTTTGACAAAACTTCTGCAGAAGCAGGTGCTGGATGAATAGAATTAGCATTACTCTTAAAGAGCATAGCTTCCTTCGGCTCCTTTCAGGTGACGTGTGGGAAGAGACTGTGAGGTATGTGAACTCAAGACAGTAGATGAAGAAGCCCAAACTTTTACTCTCCCCGGAGGGATGCCTCAGGCTCAGTTGAAATTCAAACTGATAACTCTTTTGTATTAATCTGATGAAAATCAGTTTTTTTAAAACATCGTGTAAAAATGCTCAGATAATTATATATAGTTGCATTTGAATGAACAACATATTTATTACGCTTTGATTCGTCTCTGTTAACCTTTAACGTGAGTTGCAGTTTTACACAAAGCGGGAGCAGAGCGCCCCACACGGCATTCAGGTTCATTTACCTTCTGAACACTGAGGAATGTCACAGACTTCGTAGCGTACCTCTGGATTGCTTGTGAAACACCAAGGTCCCCCTTCTTCCCCTCGAGGATTTCGACAGTAGTTTTCCTGTAGGTCTTTACCCCGATAGCTCGAAGGCAAAAAGCTAGTTTTAAAATGATAATCATTACAGTATAAGAGCATGCAACTTTATTTTGGGCCTATTAATTTTACTAATTAGTGGGTAAGTTTTTCCTGAAGTACAGAAATCCTTTATTCTATCTCAGACTTCCACATATATTAATTTGAACTCTGTCAGTTTCATCCATTCTTAAAATACTTAAATTTTATAAATATTTACCTAACCGAATTCCCACATTCAACGTCATTAACAATGACTCATCTCCGGAGTTGCTAATAGCCGATCATTCTAGAACCTAACTGACATTGTTCGAACCACAATTTCAAAGCTCCCCTCAAAGTCAGCACCTGATTGAGCAAGGCCACTGAGGAGAGAATGGAAGAAACTGCAGTTGACCTTGAAATCTCACTATTACACTGCTTATCTGAGATAATTACTTGTTTGTATCGCTTTTCTCATGAAGAATAGCCCTCTTTTTTTCTGCACAATTGAGAAACAGGTTGATGAAGTGACACAAACAAAGGGTCCAGAATCAAATTAAACCTGGATTCAAATTTCAGTTCTCTCTTTTACTAACTGGAGACCCCCGCAGGTAATTTAGACTCTCTTAGCCTTTTAGCTTACCCGCACATGGAGTATAACCATAACTTAAAGCATCTTACACTTTATATGGTGTTTTGAGAAGTTCAAAGAGATGACAGAGTAAACGACAGTCAATAAATGCTACTTATTATTAACCTCACTCCACCTAGTAGTCTTTACCCTGTCATAGTAAAAAACAGAATTACTTATTCTCTTCAAAAAATTTAGCAATTTTCACTGCAACTGGGGGTTAGTGCTTCCAGACTTGAGTTTTTAACAGTTTGCCATTGGGTGCGGAGACTGTAATGCATTACCTTCATTTGAAATTTGTAATGCCCTAGTTATAGTTTTCTTATCACCATAAAGTATTTCAACACAAAATCAGAAAAATCCAAAGCCTTTTTTATTCAATTGTACTGCTTGTGGCATTGGCACAATGATGCTTTCTTCTGCTAGACTGAATGCAAAAAAATCGTGTAAGGAAGAATATATATCTGTGGGTAACACTAAACTTTTTTTTTTGAAAACCAGTTACATTTTCGACACTCAGTTCATTGTTGCTATAAAGCTTTGTTTCTACTCTTACTGTTTCTGAGTTCTAACTGGTAGTTCTAGTGCAGTCAAAGGATTTTAGTCTCTAAGTAAAAACCATTCAAATGTGTTTCCAATCCACTGAAACTTATTTATAAATCATTGTTTTTTTTTTATTATGTTGTGACACAAAATGTATATGGATGTGCATTGGGTACCGAGAAATATTTTGCAATGACATTTTTTTCATTTGGACATGAAATATACCAAAGTTAAGTCCTCAGAAAATATAAATTATTGGTTAAAAAGAGTCTATTTTAAGAGACTTAATACTAACCAAATTTTCAAGGAAACTGGTATTATAAATATTATGAAACTCCAAAATGTCTTTAGATAGAATTTATATCCTTACTTAATTAGAATTTTAAATATGGGGAAACAAAAATTAGGCATTAGGCCATATGATTGACATAAATTATAATACAATTAAATCTCATCATGATTTCACAGTTCTTAACAGTATTTAATTTTAAAAGAAAAAGAAGGCATCTTTTTTCTTATTTTTGGCCCTTTTATTCCAGAATAGCTTTTGTTTGTTCCAAGCTTGAAATTTTCTTTCAGTTTTGCCAGTTTTCCAACTTTACAAAGTAAACTTCTAATGAAATACTTATTTTTCTGATAGAATCAAAACTTTACTTCAGATTGTTTTGTGTAAAGTAATACATAAATGTATCTTAAAAAATGCTCCTATAACTCTATTTTATGAAAAAACTTGGTATAGTAGAGTAGAAAGAATAAGTAATTGTTAATTACAAAATCTACATTGTTGCCACACATATAGCACTTGGCTACTTAGATGACACTAGTCCTTAGTCCCTACGCAACTTATTTACTCTTCGCTTTTCACTCCTTCACTTATATATGGAGTGAATTTGATTATTATAAGGTCCTTTTTTGTCATTTTATGTATTAGGTTTACTTAGAAGAAGTTAAATAATGGATTTAGTACGTGTTAAATATACACATATTAAATATCTATGATTTTAGAGAAGACTTGTTGTATACACACACACAAACACACATAGAACACATATACCTTGCCAGTGGATTTGTAAAGCTAAAAAGAAGCTGTAAAGAAGTAGTGAATGAATCAGTCAATGGTTTAGTAGTAAACATACAAGTATGGAAGGGAGAAAAAGTAGAAATCAGAACTAGATATGGCAGAAATATGAATAAAGTTTTCTCACTGGAGTTAATAAAATGCAACTGAAAAGAAAAGGTGCTGCTTTCCATAACTCTATGTCAATGCACATGAAATTCCTCTTTAGGACATTCATGACAGTCTGGTCGTCTCTTCCCTTCATTGTTTGGTGTGTATGGCTTTTTACCCAAATTAGCTGGTTTTCTTTTGTGTCCTGAGGTATAGCCTGCTTTTTTTTAGCATGCTGTACTTGGCCAAGGGATGAAGCCAGCCCTGCTCTTTTCACTTTATATGTTCATTCAACAAACGTTGAATTACACACAAGCCCTTTGCCAGTCAAAACCTGTGTAATAAACTTTTATTCACATATATACTATTCATGGTTCTTTATCATTGTTAGCAAGGCTTTAAGAGAGAGAAGTAAAGAAATATTTAAAACAGTTATATCATGTATACTTTGAAATATAAATTAGATCTTCTGGGCGCTAGTCACCTTTTCTTTTCTTTTAATATAAACTGCATTCATGGGAAACTTGATCTATTCCATCATCTGCTTCATTAATGAATGCTGGTGGCCAGTGAAGGATATAGATGTAGATATCGAGTCACCTGATTTTCTGGTTAAGCTTCTATACTAATTTCATCATCTATCATCATCTTCCCATTAAGCCACTTGTAACATATTTCTAGTTAGGGGTCAACAATAAATCACTCTTCCAGACAGAGATATATATATATTTTTTTCCATTTCCCATAAAGTTAATCTTTAGGTAACACTTAACTTAAAAGTGTTAAGCTATCATGCAGATAAACCAATAAGCCGCTAATTGATAAAAATTAAGTGTTACCATTGTTAAACAAACAAACAAAAAAAGATTCGATTAATATACAAGATCTTCTCAGCCCTAAACTTCCATATCACAAGGAAATGTTTGTTGGTAAAATAGCTGATTGGACTGGGAAGCCCGTTCCCAGGGAGATCTATTTCACATGTACTCTTCTCGCACAGAATCACAATCATGGAGAATTTGGGTTGAAATAAGACCTCTACTGGGTCAGTCTTGTGCACCCAACTAGGGTAGGATTGATTTCAAATGCTATTCCTTTGTTCATGAAAAACTTAGATCGATCTATTTAAATAACAAGTTTTCCTCATATGGTGTCATGGGAGTGACACCATGCAAATCCTTATGAGGGAACAAACCAATTATATTGGGTTTTTTGCTTGCTAATATAATGCTATGTTTCAGAGGAATTTGTGTATTATTGCAAGTAACTAATTTGGAAAAAAATTAGTTGTTTTCTGTTATTAAAACCCTGTAAACTGGTCAGCTTGGACACTCACTAGCTGGTGTTAATTAGGGCCGGGATCACAGGTTTGATCCCAATGTGGAGCAACAAACTCTTTTTCTTTATAGGTGGGCCAATTAGCTCATGTCTGTTCACAGAAGTGAAATCATCTTGCATAATTATGCCCCTCAAAAATGAATGAAATGAAATAAAAAAGTGAATTCATCAAGGCAAAGTCATCACCCTTATTGCAAAAACAAGTCACAGTATGTGAACTACTGCTCAGTGTTTCATGCCCTGTTTAATGTTAAAAACACGGGTTATACAGTGACACCAGCTGGGCTCACATTCCAGCCAGAGCACATACTAGTTATGCATGACCTTGAAAAGTTCTTAAGGCTTTTGTTCTTCAGTTTCACCATATATAAAATAGAATTAATAAAACTACCCACTATGTGGTTCTTGGGGGGATTAAATGAGATAAATAAGATAGACTCCTCAGCAAGGTACTTGGCTCATGGTAAACTAAATCTTCCAGTGCATTTACTAACCAAGGAGAACTGTTTTAAACTACCTTAGTTCCTGTCAAATTTATTTGTGAATTGAATCCCGGAAAAACTGGGGCTAAATTTAGTTCTTTAGTGAGTATTAGAAATCTATATTTCTCCTCCAGGATGATTAAAACTCTCAGACTAATGAGCCCATGGATGCTGTGTTTACTCATCTTTAACTAGCATTCATCTGTTATAATGAACACAATTCTTCTCTGAAGTGTAGACATTTAATTTCCAGGCAACGAGAAGTTTTGTCCAGTCATTAGGCAGTAGGTGAAATGGGAAACCTGGGTCAACCTCTGGCGTGAGTTATTAGCAGAGCTTCTCAATTTTGGCTGTACTTTGGAATCATCTAGGGAGCTTAAAAAAAAAATACCGATTCTAATTTAATTGGCCTGTGTTGGTGCCTGGGTGGTGAGATTTGTTAAGGGCTCATAGCAGGTGATTTTAATGTGTAACCAAGGTTGTGTACCACCATAGTTAAAGAGCAGTCAGGCCCTGGGTCTGGTCAGAATCTGATCCATCATATTTATATCACAGTCAACCTCTCCACTCCAGCTGCAGGGTGCTGTACCCTCTGGAAGGCAAAGAGAGGAGGGGAAAAATCTTTTTTTTTTTTTTTAATCATGTTTTCATTACTTCCTCACCAACACCAAGCTGTATAAGCTGACGTTTTTGAGGTAAGATACTGTTAGGCCTCATCTTAATGATAAATTTATTCATCTTTGAATCTCAGTCATGAATTCACATAATCCTTGGCTTAACGCCATTCAGCAAAATTGGCTGTTATAATAGAACTGTAGTAGTATTCTGAAGGATCCCCATGAGATTGCTCACACATATAAAAAAGAAAGTCTCTACCCTCCTTTTTTCGTGCTTTTCTTACCTGTGTTCATGTGGGATCATGGAATTCCAGGGCTGGCATTTGATGCCACTCTTAGTGATAGATACGGTTCCCTTGTAGCTACCTCCTTTACCAATGATGCAGTTTCTAATGTAGTCTATCAGAAGAAAGCAGAGAAAAATTTTATAACTATGTGTAACATATGTTGCATATATTAGAGAAGAAAAAGAAAATTCTATCCAAATCTTTAGGTAATTAATGTTTATAAGTTCTCTCAAATCATACTGACATTTCTTGCCTACAGTTTCTACTATTTTCAAAACAATACATTTCAGAATAATACAAAACAAAACAAAACAAAAAAAGACTACTGAGAAGTTTTACTTTTGTGAGTATATTCCCGGATAACAGCAGAGATTAGTCTATGTATACACAACTGGCCAGGCAAATTTAATTTGACAGAATGATTTGCTCAAATATACTAAGCATTTTAAGAAAATGTTAAAAATAAAAATTAAGTAATTTGTAAAATCTATTCAATTCAAAGGGTTACTTTAAGATAATAAAAATAACTAACTTGTCTTTATCTCAATAAAATTGTATAGGTTTTTGTATATGTGTGTGTGTGTGTCTAAGTGACAGTTGTATTATGTTGATTATTATTTTCTGTATTTTTGCTAACTTTTCAGCTGTGAAACTGTAGAGCAATTTAAACAAGCTATATATTCCTATCAAATAATAGTATATACAGTTGCTAGCAACCTAGAAGATTAAAAGATGGCCTTATACTAGATCATAAATTATGTTTAGGAATTGTAGCTTTATTGGGGTATATAGAGATCATTCTTATTTTCTTTCTTTTTAGATCATCTTATTTTCTACCATAAATTAATTTTAAGTGTCTACCTTCTTAACAAGGAAATATCTGTGTATATTATCAAGTACTCAAGTTTAATAACACAGTACGATTTAAGAAAACACTAAACTTGAAATAAATACTATTATCATAAATATAATCCATAATCATTATTTTGTGTGATAAGAGATTTATTTTGTAAAACTCATATTTATTTAACATTCTCCAGTTATTTACTTGATATAAATCTGCTTTGGATCAAAGTGAATATGTGTAAATATAGTATCAGATAAACAAAATAGACACATTAACAAATAATATGATCTCAATTCTTCTTTTAAAGATTTTCAAAATATATAATTAGGAAAAGACACAACTAATATTTCAAAATCTCCATATTTTATTATCAGGAATCACCACTATGACAGATTAGTTACCCAAAGTTGTTAACATTTAAAATGCTATGTAATAAGCTCAAAATGTACTCTAAGGTGTTTTAAACTATTAATTTAAGGTGGCACTTTCTAAAATGAACATGGACAACATCAGTTCTAGGAGATGCTCCTAGAAATAAATAAAGAGGGAGGGAGCAGTCTAATTATGGAAAGTTTGAGAAATGCTCTCTTTAAAATATCATATTGAAAACAGTCAAGACACTAGTATCCTCTGTCTTAAAGGAAGAATTGACTGCAGAACAGATCCAGCATATAATAGAAAAATTAGTGGGCAAGAGCACTGTGGCAGGAAATTACATATATTTTATGCTTTATTTTGTTATGAAATATTTAGGGAGAAGCCAGTTACCTTTGTTTTCATAGAGATCAAATTCATGACCAAACTCCTTTTTCACTCCACTTGTCATGCTATTGAAAGGGAACCAGAGGCATCGTTTCCTCGCTTTATCAAAAACAAAAGCCCTGAAAAAAATATCTAAATGAAAAGAAGGAATACTACTACTTATACAGTTTTTAAAGAATGGGCACATGGTTTAACCAAGGAGGGCAATATAAAAGGACACGTGGTTATATATACATAATAAAAACATGAGTGATTTTTGAACCTACCATTTTGATCGCTAAATAAGAAAGAACAAAATTAAGTTTGTATATGTGTAGATTTAAATATCAGAATACTATTTGGAATGTTCTCATGTTATTTTAAATGATGTCTAGAAAAATGAAGTCTTCAGCAAAATCAATATATAACACAACTACTTGGATTATTTCTGAAGACATTTTTTGGAAGTACACAGCAAGTAGGAAGATTCTGTTTGTAGTTATATACAAATGATTATATCTGAAATATTGTGATTAATTTCCAAAGTTTGTAATTGTGTAAAGTACATTCTAAAATGACATTTCCTAAAATACATTAGACAAATCACCACCCAGGAGATTCTCCTAGCAAAAGGGATCTGAAATCAAATGTTTGGAAAATTTTGCATATTCTATCACTTCTTGGTGAGTTATAAAGCAGGAAGCTTATTAAAGGCTATGAAAATCTTGCTATCAGGATAAGTGTTTATGTAAGGCAATGTTTCCTAAATAGACTTGCCTGCATAGACATTTTTTAATTTAAAAAATCTATTAATATCACATTGCATATGCTCTTGATATATCTATCTTGAAGAAAATTACTAAAATGTGTCACTCCTACAATCATCATTCTTATTGCTAAGTATTATATTGGGTTTTGTTGTTCACTAAAAAAAGTCTTTCTAAACAAAATAAACCCTTAACTGAGAATAGTAAAGAACTTGATAAAATTTTCAACATATTAAATGTTACCTTGTCTTACAATGTAGAAAATGAAGTGGGATTTCTGACCTATTTACCTTCCTCTCAGAAATGGTATTTAAAACATTTTACCTATGATCTAATATTTTTATGTTGTACATTTTATTCTATATTCAAATAACTCCAAAAATGTTATGCATAAACTTTGAGCTTTGATTTACACATCGATAATTTGAAATATCTACCTACAAGTACATCTTACAGCTGAAATCGTAATTAAGAGCCAATCATAAAAGTATATTTTTGCAGCAGTGGCAGATAACTTAAGAGAGGATTGGCTAATGATAGCAATAAGACTTGAATTTTGATCTGGTGGGCTGTAGCCTTATGCAACACATGTTAAATTCTCTATTACGCTATTGTAGCATGTTGGGGTGTATTAAATGACTTTGAATGCATAGTAGTTAGAAAAAGAACACATACTAAAAAAAACTAAACAAACATCTAAAACCAAATTTAAAAGTTACAGTTGCCGCTTAACTTCACGTTAAAATAAAGTTGTGTGACACATATATAACTACTCTTCTATGGATAATATGGCTTTGACATGAGAATGCCTTGGAGGTGACTCATGAGCCGCATCAGGAACATGCAAGATTTGCCTCCGTGAATACACAGGTGATTCCATCTGACAAGTGGGTAACCGAGTTTCCAGTTTGCTGTCTTGACTTCACCCTTTTCGCTCATTCCATTATTACAATGCCGTATCCTCTCAGAAAAGTGTTTCCTTGAATCACTTTATACCTCCAAATAGACTGGATCCAAACAGTCAGATTCTAGAGTTGCATCTTCTTTTAAGTTTGACTTTAAAAGTCTTTATCTTACCTTATTTTAATTATCATATTCCTTTCAATAATTTATTTTGTCTAGTTTTCTAGTTGTTTACGGTAGAAAGGCAATTCCAGTACCAGTTACTCAGTCATGGGTGGAGGAAGGAAGCCTCATATTTTCTTCTCTTGAGTCAAGTCATGGATAGCAATTTTCTGGGGAGCTTAGAATCAGGCATTATGGTCCTCTTTCCTACCCAGCAAAAAAGAACTTTGATCTCTGTAAAATCAATATTGTTGATACCTTCTCAGGAGGAGATCGCGTTTGAGAATGTTCCACCCCACACCCACTGAATCACAGATGCTTTCACACCGCATTGTTGGTATTTTCCAAGCATTTTTGTATATTTGCCATTGTCTTTCAATGATTCTAGTCCATATAGCAAGTCTGCGAAAAGATCCTTTAATTCATTAAGAATCTAATTTCAGAGTATCACAGTATGTCCGTTCAATTCTGAACAACCAATGTATTTAGTGATTGCAAACACATGTGCCTATATATTTGGAATAGACAAGTGATAGGGATGACATTTTTGGGCAGAAGAATTCTTTCTGTACAAAGGTATTATACATGTGGTTTTCTGCACAGGTTGCAATAAATTTGAGGGCTAAATGCAACTCAACCAGAATATAGTAGGAAACTATGAAACCTCATATACATGGGATATATAAAGATTTTTAATCATTTCACATATGTTCCCTAATGCAGCAAAATCATCTTAGTTCCTCCTAAATAAAACATAGGGAAAGGTTTTTGTTTTGTTTTCTAGAGATAAGACTGACTAATGTGAAAATCAAAAGGTAGTAATACTTTCCTTACTCTTGGATTCAGGAGAGTGTATTTTCAGATTCATTTATTTATAAAAATAAATAATAAGATGAGGTTCTCCCATTTCCCTTGCCCCACCTTCCTAAGCCTATGAGGGGAAAAATACAATAAATCTAACCTTCTCAATTGTGAGAACATCACCATAAATCTACACAGTAATGATGTTGATTGAGAGTAGTTTTCTCTAGTTTATTTTGAACAATCTGAAGGCAGGAAAGTCAGGAAAAGAAACAGAATTATCATAGGAATATACTTGCAAAATCAATTCCCCACTCCCCTTGCCAGGAAATATCTCCCTGAAAGTGGCAGTTTGGCAATAAAAATACTTTCAGAGGAGTTGTAAATGAATAGAAGGGAGATAGTCTGTCCTCCACTACATCTGTCGAGGACCTCCTCTGACCAGGTCCTTTCCCCCAGGCCCGTAACACTCATTTCTCTGAAAAAGGTAAAATGAGATTAGGCTCACTTGCCACGGCATTACTAAAATCTGAGTTCACATTACATGTCACTGTCCAAATTCAGTGGAGTAGAATTCAAAACTGACAGGATATCATGCACAGTCCTGTAAAAAATAGAATGAAATAGGGAATAAATGGGTATAAAGTAAATGAGGGGATGGGAATGTTTACAAAGAAGAATGAGGAAATGCATTTTCTTCTGGCAATTCAGAAAATTATTCAGATGCAACTGTCTCCTTCTTGGCCCCAAATTCCCAAGTTTTATCCTTGGGATCTCTGGCAAAGTAGGAAGGAATTCCTCCCTGTGAGGTTGCACAGGGAATTTCAAATGATAAGAAAACCCTCCGTTTGAATCCCCTCATGCCTCTTTGAATTTCTCTGTCACTTTTCACCTAAAACTTCATCATCACTACCCCTAACTCCTTTTGAACAGCCTTTGCTGCTGACACCAATCCCTCTACTTTTTTATCTAATTCTCTCAACACCTTTTATTTAAATCCCTAGACAATGATGTAAGATGCAGTAAATTCTGGCTCTGGCCCAACTTATATTCTGAAAATTCCTCCACTCTTCTTGCAAGAAAAAAAAATTTACTCTGAATAGAATATTTTAAAATGTTGGCTAAAAGGCAATCTAATGGAATTTTAGTCTCTAAAGTTCAACTGTTCATAAGATGAGAAAACACAAATTCCATAACCAAGGGCATTCTGGGTTCTAAAAGATATCCATTTATGTGCTCTCCTTTACTCATACTTCCATCAACTGAGAGCTACATTTTCTGTTATAATGAATTAAAACTAAAGTCAAGCTTATACTTTTAAGGGCAAATTACACTGAATACAAAGAAAAAAAAAGAAAAAAAAACATGATGATAATTAGAAGATGTTATATTTGGAAAGTTATCCTAAGAACAAAATGAAGCAACTTACTTGCAAGTGAATGGAAGTCCTTTATTCCTAATACATCTATTGGCACATTGGTCTGCAGTGTTCATTTTTTTTGTTTTTATCTTCAGTAATGGGTCTTCTTTAATTAGAGTAGTCTTTGCTGACTTTTTGAATTCATGAAGTGTGTTTCTTCTTTTCTTCTGTCCTTCTATTAATAATAATAATTTTTTTTAAAAAATGGAGGAAAGCTTTTAAGGCTCATATAGAAAAAAGGTCCTTAAGGATCATCCCCAAGATAGTGATTTTATCTGACAACATACTAGATCTCCAGGGGTTGGGGGTGAAGTGAGGTGGGGATTGATACTCTCAGATAGTTAAGAGCAAGAGAGGAATATTGTAACCAGTGAAGAATAAATAACTTGTCATGTAGGATCACTCATCTACATTCTTTAAAATGAAATATGCTTATAAAAATTAGGACAGAGTTCACTCTACAGAAATAAATGACATGATAGTCTCCAAACAGTATGAAAGCAAATGCCCAGGCATATCATATCATGCTCTATAATTAAATTTGTCATTTCCTTCTACAGTTGGTCCTTATGTAAGTTATAGTTTTAATTAGATAAGTCAATTCAATTACATGTGAGAAACTTCTCACTAAAAGTGGTGCAGTGGATAAATTCTTCCGGCTCTCTTTATAGTATTTCATATTATTCATATTTTAGCCCTCCTCATTTCCTACAGAAGTGTTTTCTGTGCTTGGGGGTACTATTTCTTAAGTATCACTGAATTGTTTGTCTTGAAATCAAGCCAAATGCTATAAATCAAATGTATGTAAAACTTCAAGCTTTAATGTAGCAATATCATTTTTCTTCAAGAGAGTATTCTACAAGGCCCCTAGATAGCATGAAGTCTCCTATTAAAAATGTGAAAAACAGAACTAAAACATCCTAAAGGACTTAATCTTATAGATGACTTTAGAGTATCGAGAACTACTTCTTCATTCTTGATGTGCCCAAAGTTACCTAGCTTCTAATCATGGTCACCATCTTCACAATGAGGATCAAAATGTTTAAGATACTGCACCTATTAAACAATAAGGATGGGCATGATTGTGCCTCTCCTCTGCCTGCCAGTTCTTTTGAACACCCTTATAACAAAGGCAGTAATAATATATTCATTTTTAAGATAAAGAAACCAAGACACAGAGAAAAATTAATTGCCCATTTAGCAGACCTCATTTGAAACCCAGCTGCCTCACTTCAGAACCCCCAGCCCCCACTCTTAAACACTCATGATGCCATCTTTTCTTTTTTTTTTTTTTTAATTCTAAGTAAGTAGAAATATGGCTTATAAATATTTTCTGAAGATCCGGTTCAGAGCTATCAGTAGAGAAGAAACTTGGATGGTAGAACAGGAAATGCATTCCTGGTCTTTATATGTGGTGAAATGTGCCAAGAAAAGAGGGTGAAAATTTTTGTGCAGAAAATTTGGAAATATGGCTAGCAGAGTGAGGTACAAACAATGGCATCATACTCTCAAGTTTGCCAGCAACCACTGGCTCCAGTTGGTTTATTAAACATACAGATGCTATTCATTAATGTCTATCCTAACCTGAAGTCCACAATAAATAAGAGAAAACATGAAGTCCTCTAAATTTCTGGTTTTCTGTAAAACTTCAGAGCACAATCCCCAAAAGACTGGTACTAATTTCTGTAATAATGTTTTCATTTTTAACTTTTCTTTGCCTTACAAGATGGAATGGCCAGGGTACAACAGATATAATTTAAAAGACATTTTAACGTAGAAATTCATTCAACCAAATAATCTATCAACATGTTATTTATTGAGTGCGGAGCAAATGCCTTGCATAACATTGGCAGACAGATGATAATTCTGGCAGTCTTACCGACTTGCCAAATGACTTTGTTTAATTACCTGAAATGCTAATAGACCAATGACTCAGTCTGCAAAATAAAAGTTATATTATATTTGAAGCTATTTAAATTATAATTATTAAGTAAATATGTGGAAATTAATTCAGATAAAAATGTTATAAATATGCAAAGTTTTAGCTTTGTTTTTGAAATTCCATTCTTTAATTTCTGGCATAGAGAAGAAATTGTTATTCTCCCAAGCAAAGAAGTGGTATAATTCTTTTCACATTTTGGTTTCTGCCACAGAACGATGTTAATGGGAGATATGTCGGCATTAGGAGTTTCTTCCTTTGACCGTGGTGCACCATTTCTGAAGTGCTGTGAGATGTTTCACAGAATAATAATCATCTGATTTCCTATATAAATTGGAGTGTTTCTTAGAATCAAATAGTAATTTATGGATGCTGAAAATCTATTAAATAAAACTGTTGACTAAAATGGAAGATATATATATAGGTAGATATAGATGTGTGGATTATATATATATATTTCTTAAATAAATTCAGTTAACTAAAAATATAGAATTAAAATTGGCCTGATGAATAATGTGTTTATGACACATATCTAAGTGTGAGAGAAGAGCATAAAACTAAATTTTCAAAGTCTGAGGCAAGTATTAAATTCAGATATGTACTTTACTAATTATCAAATTCATTTAACTAAAATGAATTAGTTAAATCTATATAGATGTAGATAGATATAGATAGATGCAGATAAATTTTAACAGTCTGAGGCAAACATTAAATTCAGATATGTATTTTACTAATTATCAAATTAAAAAAACCCTTGTGGATGCTCTGGTTTCTTGGCTCAATACCATGCCCTATGAAGGCAAGTACTGAAGACTACTCTAGAGAAAAAAGGTCTCTGTGGGATTGTTGGTTGTGTTTAATTCTACAGATCCTCAATTGTCCTCTCGAGATGTGTTAATGTGTGGCTATACCTCATAAAAGTAGTCTAACTCTTGCTTGCTGATAAGTTTTTCCATCACCACCTTTCATCTAAAGACCAAAAAGCATTCAGAAAAGCAAATAAATCTATGATTTCCCTTTACTAGATAATAGATAGGAGTGAAAAGCTTGTATGGGCCTACAGAACTAATCAAAGGCAATGGGAACCAGATACCAGGATTCTCTTTTCACTATTTATGTCTCATGATTTAGAAGCTTTCCTTTATAATTTAGTGATTTCTACTAGGTCAGTAACAAATTACTCAAAAATGTGAAGTTCAAGCTCGTTGTACATCATGTAATCCAGGCATCTATAAAACTAATTTCTTCTTCAATAAAAGAAAAATTCAAAACAGGAGTCTAAAAGACAGCATGTCAAAATAAAACTCCTTTTCTGAAAATAGTTTCGACTTTTTCTTCCATATATATTAACAACTGATGATTGTTTTTACTGAAAACAGTTAAAAGACCAGCTTAATTTGGGAAGAAACTAAAAAAAATATATCTTTGGATCAGATTTTTCCCTACTGTTTCTTTGTGCGTGACTATTAGTTGAAGTTTATAAACAAAATATTGAAATGAAATCAAAGGGTGAGAGATCACAGCAACTTTGTCATGCTTTCTTGTACTTTAAATTACAACTCCTTTCTCCTCTTCTCCCAGTATGGGAAAACATTCTGGAAGCTATATTTCCTGAAGAACCAGAAATCCTTGTTTTAGAACTGAAATCATTAGGATCTTAGTGAAAACCTACAAACAGAAAGTAGGGTCAAATGTATCAAGGTGCTTGAAGAAAGACACATTTCTCCCTCTGGTCCCCTGGCCTCACACTCATTTCTCTCAGTACCTCATATATTTTCTTCTCTGTATGGACTAACCATTGACTTCAAAGGAAAATCATGCAAGGAAAGGATTTGCAGGGTGTGGAAAGAAGCAGGAATCTGGCTCCACATATTCTGAGAAACCTACCCACATGATTAGTGATTAACAGCTTGAAGTGGCAAGATGTTAAGATGAAAGTACACAAATAATTAATGGAGGGAATGGTTGTGACTGGAGACTTTAACCTTCCCAAAGACAAGAATCATAAATACTAGTTCACAGTTTCATTGCTGTTATCTAGGACTTGGATTTCGTAGCTGGTATTTGAGAAGCAAGCGAAATGATCTCTTCCAAAGAGGTTTACACAATGAAGTGATAGTCAAGGTGGGATTCAGGGCCTCTCTTTTTCACCTTCATTGGGCTTCCTTGTTCAGGATGTCATTGTCACAGATGCCTCCTCCTGGTCTCTTCCCTGACCCTCTGTTTCTGCCAACAATTCTCCCTCCACGCAGCAACCAAAACAACCACACTGAAGTACAACTTACGTCGGGTCTCTTGTCTACTCTACAATTTCCAACTGCTACCCATGATGTTCAGAATAGTTTAGCACAACCATTCATGCTTATGCATGCTACCCTCTCTCACTTTTCTAATCACAGGCCATACTACTCCCCCTCAGTTACTCAGTATACCAGTCCCACATGGTTACAGGTCCTCATTCTTTCTCACCTCCATGCCTTTGGCCACTTTGTTTTCCCCTGACTTCAGTACTGACCGTGCTCCATTTTTTCATACTCAACTTGGGTACCATATTTCCCGCAAACTTCCTAAGCTAGAAATGAACTCTAAACCATAGTATTATGGTATTTCTAACACAGAGATTTTCATATATTACTTAGCAAAATGGATTTTTAAAAGGCAATTTCAGTTGATTTCACTGTTTCTGCCTTCATAAATAAAAGGAAAAAAAACAGCACATATTTCCTTCTCAGAGATTTGGGTAGGACTCTCAGCTCTATCCCCTTACTGTGTATGATAAGATAATTAAGGTCGCTAACCTCAATTTCCCCATGTAAGATGAGTTGAATACTGCTAATCTTATTAGAGTTAAGTAAGTTCTCTTTTAGAGTTTGGTCCCTAACAGTTGCTTAACAAATGTAGGTTTCTCTCTCATTTGTTCATCTTTATATCCTCCCAGGTTCCTGGACACTAGATGCTTACTTAAATGCTTCTTTTGTTACAGGGAACTGGGTATCTGTTTCCAGTGTAGGTAGAAGTGGATAGGGGGTAATTCTATGTAGACCAACTCCTATAAGGATGGCTTGGATCCACTATATTGCAATAAATGATCCCCATAATACATTCTGCTTATAATTGGTTGTCACCTCATTGTAGTATCCACTTCTCTTCTAACACTGTATTATTTTACAATATGTACAACTATAGACTCATAGAATAAACCTATAAGTATAACCAAAGCAATTAACAACAACAAAAAAACTCCAAATGTTCAATGTTAGATGATAGTAAAAAAAGGACAAATTTTGTATGTTCTAAGAGGGACTATCCATGTTCTCCATTCTGGAGAATGTTGTTAAAAAAAAACAACTATCAAAATAAACTTGCCACCCAAACTAAGCCAGACCCTCTTTTGATGACAATTTTAGCATTATCCACTTCAGGAATTATTCACAGCATATCTGTAATTCCCAATTGGCCTCGCCTTGCCTGCCAGCAACTCTTGGGCTGCATTCTCCCTATGCTCAGGAAACACAGTCATTTCAACATTAGCCAAAGTGAAATATAATTACAAATGTATATCTCCTGCCAAAACTTCGTAATGCGTGCCAAAAACAAATAGACGTTGTCTATGGTTGATCTACCGTTTGGGTTTTCCACATTGTGTTTCCTTCGCATTAGCACAGATGATTTCAGGTAACCATATTATACTTCAGACCATCAACATTTGAATCTTTAAAAATGAAAGCCCTCCAAATATTAGCCGTGTTTTCAATTTATGCTCAAAGTCCCCTAAAATCAGCAATCCTTATGAGAGTTCATTTTAGCATGACACACCTCAAGCACGATGACCTGCCTGATGGAACTAACTTCTTTTTCACCTCTTTGGAAATCGTACCTACATATTTTCAAACTGGTCCTTCCTGCACACTGTTGTTTTTCACAAGGACCACTTCACAAAATAGAAGAAGAAAGCCAGGTGGGTCGAATGCTTTACCTTGTCATTTAGCAAAGTCTTGATGTTTTCAACCCGGGTATTACATCAGAAACTAGATCAGAGCTCTGATACATTTCATATTTAGCTTATCTCCAAAGATATAGCCAGTCCTCTGGTTTGTGTTATGAAAAGGCCATGTCTACCATGTGGGCATTCGGTCCATTCTTTTATTCCCTTGTGCCTACCCATGGTGCTCACTACCTTCTCCCATTGGCATCTCAGCCACCACAATGATAATACAAACAAATACAGATGTTTCCTCTTGCCCTGATAACAACAGAAAACTTCCCAAAGCAGCAAATGGAATCTCTCCACTTCCAGGAAGGTAGTATGAACTCACCAGCAGTTCCTTCCCAACCTGTAAATTCGGGAGAGATAACGGGAGGCTGAAAGGAGCCGTTTCCCAGCCTAAATCAGAGTCACACAGTTTGTGCCTCCCTTGCCCTGCAGTTTCAAAGGGCAGGCATCCAAACCCAGACAGAATGAGATCTCAGAAGAGAGGCTTTCTCTTTCATTTTTATAACATGCATATCCCCAGAGTTTAATCTGCCTTCTCCAGATGAAAACCTGTATAAAGTCATCATTTAGCCCTGAAGGTTGACTGTGTGATGTGGGGTAGCAGAATGTCATGGAAAATTATCCCCTGGAAAGAAGGGAGTCCCTGCTGTACTGACAGTCACTCTCCCCTCTTCAAGACCAGACCTTCGGTTCAGCTTTAAACTTGTCCAAACCAGCAAAATTCCAGCCAGTGTTAGCACTTCATTCCTGTCCCACAGTCCACAACTAGGAAGCTAAGGGGGAGCCGGGGCTAGGGTTGGGGTGGAGGACACATTCAGGGGATGTTAATTATCATTGTAAATGCCTTGCAAACAGAAAAAAAGAATATCAAAAGAAAGCACCAGGAGATGTTAAAAAAAAAAAAAACAAAACCCCATGCCACACACAGAGTTAAGAAAGGATGCTGGGGATGGGGTTTAGAGGGTGTTAGGGAAAGGGAAGGTTAGCAGGAGAGAGTTAAAAGAAGACGAATGAGGAAGAAGAAGAGAAGACTAACCTGCATAGGGGATGGCGATGGGAAGCAGAAGGAGATGGAGGAGGACATGCTGTAGGAGCAGGACTGGCAGAAGTTTGGTCCCCCACATGGTGCTGCCGGACGCGCTGGAGGATCCCACTGGACGAGATGCCTGGCTGAGAGAAGCCTGTTCCGACTCAGTGCCTAAAAGAACCAGTCGGCTCTGAGCAGCTTTTTATTGCGATGAGCTAAGTTTGTTGTGTGATTAACTGGAAAGATCTAGGTCTGAACTCCCTCTTACGGTAAGAAACTGTTTAACAACAGCCCTTTACTCTCTTCCACCCCCTTCCTTTCCTCACTAACCGCCCCCCCAACAACACCAAAGAGATCCCAGCTCCCCGCCGCCGCCCCCCCCAACTCTGCTTAGGAAAGAAACTTACAAAGAGAAGGTCACCTGGCCTGAGGCCAGCTCAATTTGGAAGCTTGAGCTCCAGATCCCTGTGGCTCCTATCCGAGTAGGGAAGGGAGGAGCAAGGCTCAGCCCAATAGCTAAATCAAGGCACAGGCAGAGGACCAATTCGCTAAATTTAAACAGGAAAATACATGTGTTTACATGTCTCTTTGGGAAAAGAGGAAGGGGAAGCAGCAGCAGAAGAAAGCAAAGAGCTGCCTTCCAGTCAAATGTGCGTTAGCTCCTAATCTGTCTGGTTTCCCTGCTAGAGCAAAGTAGGGGCTCAAAACACTAACATAGGTTCAGTGGGGGGGTGGGGGAGACAGGCGAGGTGGCAGAGCCAGGCAGGTCCAGCCCAGGTAAAAAGAAGGTGTGGTATTGTGGGGTAAAAATAAACGAGCAACACCGACACCCACCGTGTCAGGTAAGAAAACTGCCCCAGCCCAAAATGCTCAGAACAGGCAGCTTCTCTCAGCAGCTACACTAAGCTCCACAATCACCTCAGATGTGCCTAAAGTGCATCAGAGAAACTTGTCTGATTTGGGATCTGTGATAAAGTCTGGTCATGCTCTCTCTTAAAATGTCTAAGAGATTAGGATTATCTACAGCCTGTCCCCGACAGATAAATGTAGCTTGGACTATGTGTCCTTATACCCACCCCCCCCCGCACACACACACACACACACGCGCGCGCTCGCGCGCATGTATGTCTATATGACGCGCATACCTTCTAAGACTAACTTTCACTGGAAGTCTCTCAATCTGTTTTAATTCATACATAACAAAAGTGCCTCTATTCTCCAGCTCCATCCCTCTGAATGTACCCACCAGCCTCCCAAAATCTAAACGCAGAGATAAAGAGATTGCATGGGGAGTGGAAGGAGGTGGGGAGGGGGACCGGAAGACTCATGTCTGCAGAACCTGTGAGATCATTGCTCAAACCTCTCATTTTACTGATGGGATTGATTTATCTTTGCGTCTCCAGGTGATGCTCTGATTACTTGAGGCAAGAGCAGGTTTTATTTTGGATGGCTTTGGGGGGATAGTTCCCGGTGCGTCTCTGAGATGGATGCAAATACGAAGCCGCGCGTCTGTCGACCGAGGAAGAGAAAGTGGGCATGACGTGAAAACGACTCTGGGGCGGTGTGCAGCGGTACAAAAGTGGTGGTGGGCAAAATGAATGCCATCCACACAGAGCAGCCTTCCCTTCTCCTCCTCCAGCTCCGCCCACCCACCTCCAGAAAACACCCGGGTTAGGACAGCTAGAGAAGTTTGGGATTAAGAGAATTATTTTTGAGGAATCTACTTTATATTACCTTCTCTTACTGTAAATCCTCTTTAATCATCTTCTCCTTAGAAAAACAAAACCAAGCAAACTGAAAAATCGTTTGGCAGCCGAGTCTCCCTGGTGTCCCAAGTATCCATTTTACTCTCCTTTTTACTTTCTGGTAGGCTTCTTGGAAAATCTCAACTTCAGTGTATTGCCTGGCCATGATCCTGAAATGCCCCAAACATCTCTTGTGCTTTATTAGGGATTCAAACTGCTTTTTAAAGAAGCTAGATTTTTCTATAAGTAAATACTTGTAGGTAAAGAATAACGGAGACCAGTCTATTTGTTTTTTAGTTTTGTTTTTTTTTCCTCTCTTTCCCTCCCTCCCAGAGAAGGCAGAATCAGCACTGTAAAGCGTGATTGCAATTATCATTATAGGCTTGGAGCAAAATCCATCCTAGATAAGAGATTTAGAGCACTGCAAGGAAGTTGAATAAACTTATTTAATAAGTCACACATTTTCACAATTTTTATTGTCACACTAAATACAATAAATGCTTAAACCTATCTATAATTATATGTTTATATTTCTCTTTTGACAAGTTATTTGATTTCTCTATGTTAAAATGATAGCTCATATGCGTTGAGCTTTCAATGTATGCTAAGCATTGTGTCAAATGCCCTTTAAAATTTGTCTTATTTAATCCTTACAATAAACTTATATTAAGAAGGAATTATTATAATTCCCATTTTATAGTTGAGGAAACTTAAGTAAATTATTTCTATCCTAAAATAACTACCACAAATCCCAAAGGAATAAAGATCCAGGTGTGAGACTCGAATAGTTGGTCGTACCCTGTAGGATGGAGAAATTTCTGTAAGCCCCATGAGAAGAACCACCTGTCTTTTGTTTAAGACTATAATCTCCGAAATAGGCCCAGGATGGAACATATAAGAAATGCTCAATAATAAGCTACAGAATAAACCAATATATAAATAACTTAAAATCTCCCTAAACTACAAAGAAATATGCACGTGAAATAAATTATTAGTTGTGCTATTATTTTACTTTGTTTTGATAACACATTCTCTTTGTTCTTTCTAAATTATAGTAATGATGATTTGCCCATCCCTTGCTCTCACCTTTATACTCTTAGGTGTTAAACTGTTTGTATAAGTCCCCCAAAATGTGTCTGAAAATTTTTTGATAAAAATTCTCTTGTAAGGAGAATTTTTAATTGCTAGACCTTGTGTAATTACTTAAATACAGGATGAATACTCATTGCCAATATAATATCATTTTAAATCGATGATAACTTTCAAGTCTCTAGTAAACCATGTAAACTAGATGGAATGAATGGGAAAAAATGTACATTATTATACTTCCTGTTTTAAAAAATAATATTTTCAAAAGCCCCACGTTTTCCAGCACAAGTGATGTTTGCATTTGTGTAAATGGGGAAGAAGTTGATGTGGACTTTGGGCTTTGCAGACCACTGATGAGGTCTGTGCTTTTGCGCTAGTCATTTCATTTGTTAAGTGACTGGTAGCACATGTGTGGTGCCATTCTGTTTGGTGCATCTACTCCTATGGACTCAATTTAGTCAGATTCCTGGTTTCAGATCCCAGCTATCTCACAAAACACGTCACTAATTGAGAAAATTAATTAAGTTCCTTATATGTCCGTTTCCCTAACACCAGAATGGGACACTATGTGTCAGGTACTGTGCTAATAAACATCTCAAAGGTATTCTCTCACCTACCAACCCCCTACCCAGAAAAATAAAGAGATCTGTGTATCTAACAGGTATGTATTTCTATTACTGTCACCGGTTTATAAATAAGGACACTGAGATTTGGAGGTGGTATGTAACTAGCATTCGGTTAAACTGTTAATAAAGTGTGACTCGAAGCCACAGCTGTCCAGGTATGGAGTCGCCACATTGACAGAAATCCAGATTGAGAGATTTCCAACATCCTTCCTAGCTTTAAAATGTGATTATTCTACTGAATTCTTTAGTAGTCACCATGCTTTTATACAATTCTTACCTTCCACATCTGAGAAAGAAGCACCTGTGTAATTTTTGGTGTTGCTTATCTTTCCCATGCAACCGTATTTTCTCATTCTTTCCCTCATTTGTTTCACCCTCTAACTGGTAATTTGTCATCTATAGGCCTCACCACTGAAGAATTCATGTTGACTACCTTTAATGTAGGAAATACTGCAAAATTCATGGCAATTTGTATTAATTTCCTTTATACAATACAGCTCATTTCAGAGCATGTATATAAAATGTTAGTCAACACATTAATTCACCTTGGCTTAAATCCAAGGTGCAATCATCTGAACTTTTGTGTTCCCCAAAGCGCAAATACTGAAATCCTAACCCCCAGAGATGACAGTATTAGGAGGCGGGGGCTTTGGGTGAAGCCCTCATGAACGGGATTAGTGGCTGTAAAAAGAGGCTCCAGAGAGATCTCTTGCTCCTTCCACCATATGAGGGCACAACAAAGCACCATCTATGAACTAGAAAGCCGGCCCTCACCAGACTGAATCTGCTGGTGCCCTGATCTTGAACCTCCAGCCTCCAGAACTATAGAAAATCAATTTCTGTTGTTTGTAAGCCAGCCACTCTGTAGCATTTTGTTGTAGCAGCTCAAGTGGACCAAGACATGTGTATCTTTAATAGGAGCTCCTAATGAAGAAGGAATATACACTTGAGAGACAGAAAATGGCTATTGGGTAATTGCTGTGGAGAAAACAAAATTAAAAATGTGTCTAATGTCTAGCACTGAGTAGTAGTTCAACTAAACTTTGGATCAGAGAGATAACATTTGTAAATACATGAAGCAGAATCAAAAAATAATATGATACAAGCGGGTGTGATGGCATGTTTATTTGAACAATTGTTCAAGAGTGGGTACAGTGATCACACAAAAGCCTACATCTCTGCGGTCAGTCTGATGGCCTCAAGGCATTTAGGGCGATGTAAATTCAAACTGAAATTAAGTAAAATTAAAACTGAACTTTAAACTTGCGCTTCCTTTGTTCCAAGTACTTAATAGCCAAATGTGTGTGGCTACCGGCTCTCCTAGTGGACAATGCAGATATAGAATATTTCCATCATTGCCAAGAGTTCTATTAGATAATGTTGCTCTAGTCTAAGATGGTTGATATAAATGTCATCGAACAGACTCAACAAGAGGGCGCAGCAAGACAATATTAACGATAAAAGAAGATACTAAAGAGTAATCTGTGTATTGGTGACATTTAGTTTGAAGTCCCCCCTTTCTCTCTATTCATATTTTACACAGTTTGAACATGAATAACAGGACTTCAATTACTTTGTCTTTGAACATAAAGTAACTATGACTGAAGACAGCTCATTGTTTGAAGGATAAGTCCAGCACATAGTATGGACGAAAGCACAGAGACATTGGTCTGAGAAAAACTTTTTAAAATAGGTATTTTTAACAAAACATCTGTCTTCTAAGGAATCGGATGCAATCTATATTTTCGAATAGAGGGTCCTGGGAATGTGGCAAGTCTTTGCCTAGAACATTAAAAAAAAAA